CACACACACAATCCTACTCTACTCACCACCCTTCCAAAAGATGTGCTCAACTTTTGTTTCTTTATCAAAATAATAAAAGAATAAAGTGAAAAGTTGAGATTTAATTCATTAAATGGAGTTGTTTTGGTGGGTTTTATATGCAAATAATAAAGTGAAATCTTTACCATCTCTGAACAGACAAGGTTAATTAACCAACATGTTCTTTGGCACCCCTCCAGGGGGGCGGGGGGTGCAGGATGGGAACCACTGCTTGAAGGAATGCCAGGTTCTTAATAAACTTTAGTGTGCCTATATCTCTGTGTGTACAGTATATATCTACAGTATGTATGAATGTAGGCATGTAGTATGCACAGTATATCTTTATAGGTATGTACATATATTTATATATGCCCTCCATGTATTTATCCATTTATTTTTAGGTGAGTGGACAGATGTTGGGTGTGTGGTCCTGTGTTTTCTTGGTGTATATTTAATTTACTTCTAATCTCTATTTCAATCTTTCTAATTACATTTTCTCTTTGTTTTTCCCTTTTTTTCTATCTTCTCTTTACTTAAAAAAATCACTGATGATGAAGAAATTAATAAACTAATATTAAATTATTTTTATACTGAAATGATTAAAAAATAAATAAATAAACTCTAGTGTTTTGGTTCTGAGGACACGTTTGAACCAGGTTCTTCCTGTCTGCCTCAATATGAAGAGAAGGAATCAGACCAGTGGTCGGATTTATAAAACTGGCGTACGCACAATTTGAGCACAGAAACTTGTGTACGCCAAGGTTGTGATTTATAAAAATCCAAACTTGATGTGAAAATGTGCGGTGCCTCAGCCAGCTCTGACCCATGCATACGCTCATTTTGGAGATGGGAAGCTGCGACACAGATGGTGAAGTGAGGAATTAGAGCCACACTGTGTAATGATCACTGTCAGATATTTAATTTACCTTCAGAATCAGACTTAGATTTTTATTCAACTTTATCATCAGCTTTCTTAACAGTAATATTTACTGTATGCATCTGCTGCTGAGCCATGAGGACCTTTGAAATAAAAAAAAACTTCAATCTTAAATAAAAGTTCCCGTGCGCAACTCCCTTCATCTGCTTCCTCCTCAGACGACCCTGACCCACAGACCCCTCCCTGACCCACAGACCCCTCCCCGACAAGAACAGCAGGACAGCAAAAGTCACGCTTTGGATACACGTGCAGGGCGCATCCACCTCGCCAGTGTGGATGTTATAAAACTTCATGTTTAAAGTCCGTATTTGTTACGTGCGAGCGCGGGGGGATGCGTGCGTGTGTGTGTATGTGTGCGCGCGGGGTGGGGGTGTCTGCCGC